TGTGGTGAGTTGGCCATGGTGAGTTGGCATTGATGAGTTGGCCATGGTGAATTGACCATGGGGAGTTGGCTGTGGGGAGTTGACCATGACGAATTGGCCATGGTGATTTGACTGTGATGAGTTGGTCATGCCAAGTTGGCTGTGATGAGTTGGCCATGATGTGTTGACCATGGCGAGTTGGCCGTGGGGAGTTGGCTGTGGCAAGTGGGCCGTGGGGAGTGGGACATGGTGAATTGTTATAAATCAAGTTGGTTTTACCAAAAATTGCACGTTTTTGGCAAACGAATCATCAAATGTGGTCAGGTGAATGCAGGATGCTGCAAACAACTGTAAACTTAGCCTAGTTGCCAAGCACCAAATTGTGTTTTAAATGTATCACACCAAGTGTCATCACCAAGTCTCTGTCCATCACTTACTACCTCCAACACCTGCTAAGTGCCCCTTCTGATGTTCCTGGTGCCAAGTAACCAACATGACTTTTAGATCCTATTATTGCTGGGTTCTTTTTTTCCCAGGGAAGCTGGACACTGCCAAAGAGACTTTGGCCTCCCCAAGAACTGCGTGGCTGATCCAGGAGAACGTTGGTGTGGCGTTCCAGTGGAGAACCTCTTTGCTTTCTACAAGATCAAATTAATTGCACAGAACCAGCAGCTGTGGACTGACTCCTCGGAGAAATGTGTCCATGGAATGAGCATTGGTAAGCCCAGGGGAAGGGGGAGAAATTGGGCTCACTTGGTACAGGTAGTCCTAGTAGACCCATGACTGGTCTTGGCCCTTATGATGACTCCTCCTCCTCCTCCTTCGATAACTTGTCCTTCTCCGCCTTCTATGCTTCTCCTCCTCCTCTTCCTCCCTCTCTTCTTCCTCCTTCCCATTCTTCTCCTTGTATGGTTTTTTCCTTCTGTGGTTCCTCCTCCTCCTTCTATAACTTCTCCTTTCCTTTCTCCTCCTCCTCCTCCTCCTCCTTCTTCTTCTTCTTCTTCTTCCTCCTCCTCCTCCTCCTCCTCCTATAATTTCTCCTTCTTCTCCTCCTCCTCCTCCTCCTTCTTCTTCTTCTTCTTCTTCTTCTTCTTCTTCTTCTTCTTCTTCTTCTTCTTCTTCTTCTTCTTCTTCTTCTTCTTCTTCTTCTTCTTCTTCTTCTTCTTCTTCTTCCTCCTCCGCCTCCTCCTCCTCCTCCTCCTCCTCCTCCTATAATTTCTCCTTCTTCTCCTTCTTCTACTCTTCTTCTTCCTCCTCCTCCTCTCCTTCTTCTCTTTCTATGGCTCCTCCTCTGGCTCCTTCTCCATTGTAGCTCCTCGTCCCTTTCTCCTTCTCCTTCTTTGAATCTGCCATTTTAATGCTCACTCTGCCTGCTTATCAAATCAAGAATTTCTCAGGTGTGCCAGGCCAAAATATAAATCAAATGAATGGCAATTCTTCCGCTTCAGTTGCTGTACCCAGCAGGACAACCTGAATTATAGGTTGAAACAGAGCCAGTCCTCATAACCACAACTGAGCCAAAAATTTCTGTGGCTGAGCAAAGACAGTTGTTAAGTGAATTTTGCCCCCCCCCATTTGATGTCCTTTCATGACAAACTTGTTAAGTGAATCACTGCAGTTGTTAGTAACACGGTCGTTAAGTGAATCTGGCTTCCCCGTTGACTTTGCTTGTCAGAAGGTCACAAAAATTGATCACATGACCCTGGAACACACACAACTGTCATAAATACGAGTCAGTTGCCCAGTGTTTGAATTTTGATCCCGAGACCACAGGGATGCTGCAACAGTCGTAAGTGTGAAAAATGGTCACTTTTTTCAGTGCTGCTGTAACTTTGAATGGTCACAAAATGAATCATTGTAAGTTGAGGACTACCTGTATCTGCAAGGCTTCCTCCTAGGAAAATGGGTGAAATTACTCCAACCCCGTGTGTCATGCCCCTGTTGGAATCTAACTCGAAGGAGGAAGCTGAACAGCTGACAGAGTGGGAGTGTGGCTCCATTGGCTGTGGAGGAAACTGGGGAAGGGCAAAGTCCAGGTGGGCAGAGCAGGGGAGAGGTAGAACAAGGGAGAGGGAGTTCAGAGGAAGACCCAGGCCCACCCCTTCTTCACCCTAGGGCATGCAGCGAGGAACGGAGAAGGGAGCAACATGGGTTGCATGGCTTACGGGGGAGGAAAGGGCCCTGATTCCCTTCATTAGCTGCAGCTGGGAACACAGTGTATAAAAAAGGCAAGCTGCTGTTGGGAGCAAACGTGACTTTATCTTGTATTGTCGAGGCTTATCTGTGTTCCTGGCGTCTTCCCAACTGTGTGAGTTTTGCCGTCCTTTCCAGTCTGGAATTCTTGCTCCTGCCCTGCCAAACTAATTACTTCAGTTTGGCTTGTTTGGACTTTAAGTTATAATTTGTGTTTACCCTGTTTTGGACTTCATTTTCTGCAGTCAAAGGCTGTTCCTGGGAGAGTTTTTCTCCAGCCAGAAACTAACCTGGACATTGGGGGCCAAATTGGAGATAATAAAGGGACTCTTATTAGGTATCTGACTGTGTTGCTTTTGTGCCACGCCCCGGGTCATCACACCATGTTTTGAACTGTAAAATCGCTCAGTCCTGCCCTGTAACCTGTGTGCCTTCTTCCCATTGCTCATCCTAGTGAAACTGAGTCCACCAGTATTGAACGTGGTTGTACCCCAAAGCCACTGCCTCCAACCACAATGGAACCAGCCTGGGGACGAGCTGATATCGGCAACGGAGGCCCAGTACGAGATCCGGTACTGTGACCTGATGGAGCTCTCTTGCCTGCAGGTAGGTGCCAAGCTTTTTCAGTGCCAAATGGGTTGCAGGTGCTCCTTGACTTATGACCACAATTGAGCCCTGAATTTCCATTACTGAGACAGTTGTTTAAGTGAGTTTTCCCCCATTTTATAAACTTTCTTGCCACAGTTGTTAAGCATTGAATTGTTAAGTATTTAGTTGTTAAGTATTTAGTTGTTACTTATTTAGTATCCTATGACTATTACTAAGTGTTGTATCTTATGATTCTTGATGAATGTATTTTTTTATGTACACTGAGAGCTTATGCACCGAAGACAAAGTCCTTGTGTGTCCAATCACACTTGGCCAATAAAGAATTCTATTCTATTCTATTCTATTCTATTCTATTCTATTCTATTCTATTCTATTCTATTCTATTCTATTTTCTATTCTATTCTATTCTATTTTCTATTCTATTTTCTATTCTATTCTATAATTCTATTCTATTCTATGTTTCTATTTCTTTTCTAGTCTATTCTATTTGCTATTCTATTTGCTATTCTATTTGCTATTCTATTTGCTATTCTATTCTACGTTCTTCTCTTCTCTATTCTATTCTATTCTTTAGGTCAGTTTACACTGGCAGGTCTAACTTTAATCTTTCAGAAATATGAGGTCAAACACTTAACCTGCCTGCAAATTCTATCACTGCCTGGATTGGTTCTGCAACCCAACAAGACAGACCCAGACTCCAGAGGATAATTAGGACTGCAGAAAAAACAATTGCTACCAACCTGCCTTCCATGGAGGACCTGTATTCTGCACGAGTCAAAAAAGAGGGCTGTGAAAATATCTACAGACCCCTCACATCCCGGACATAAATTGTTTCATCCCCTCAAAACGAGGCTATTGAGCACTGCACACCAGAACAACTAGACACAAGGACAAGTTTTTTCCCCAAAAGCCATCACTCTGCCAAACAACTAATTCCCTCAACACTGTCCAACTATTTACAAAGTCTGCACTACTATTACTATTAACCTTCTCATCACTCCTTATCACCCATCCCCTCCCATTTGTGACTGTATGACTGTAACTTTGTCGTTGTATCCTTACGAACTATATTGACTTTTCCTAGTATGATTTGATTGCTTATTGTACCCTATGACTATTATTAAGTGTTGTACCTGATGATTCTTGACTCTTGACGAATGTATCTTTTATTTTATGGACACTGAGAGCATTTGCACCAAGACAAATTCCTTGTGTGTCTTATCACACTTGGCCAATAAAGCATTCATTCATTCATTCATTCATTCATTCCTTCATTCATTCCTTCACTTATTCATTCACAGGTAAATTTTACAACCCTGGAGAATGCTCCCCTTTCTGCAAACATCTGTGGGCTGTTCCCCTTTACCAACTACTCTTTGCAAGTCCGGGCAAAATATCTGCAGAGTTCTGCTTTCCAAAGTGATGGTGATGCCTTTTGGAGCAACTGGAGCTTGGAGACATTTGCAAGGACCCTTCCAGCAGGTATGGGAATTTGGCTGTTTTTAGTTGAGGTGATTGTGTTACACGTTATTGTCTTTCAAGAGGCTGGGATTTCATGCAGTGGAACCTTATCCATTTTTTCTTCAACTCATCAAGCACTTCAAAGTATGCCCAGAATGGACAACACCAAAAATTTAGACTTGGAGGGTTTGTTTGTTTGTTTGTTTAAAAAAGAAGGGTTAGCTGTATTTTAAGTGATTTACAATACAGGTTTAAGCTCTTAAAGTCCTCTGGATTCAGCCCTTTCCTAAATTTGGGCTGATTTTTTTTCTCTCTGAGATAATTAAATGCCAAAAAGTCTGCAAAGCTTAAGGCGTCAGAATAATAGAATAACAGAGTTCGAAGGGACTTTGGAGGTCTTCTAGTCCAACCCCCTGCCTAGGCAGGAAAACCTATACCACTTCTGACAAATGGTTGTCAGAATCTCTTCTTTAAAACCTCCAGTGTTAAAGCACCCATAACTTCTGGAGGCAGGTCGTTCCACTGGTTAATTGTTTTAAGTGTCAAGGAATTCCTCCTTAATTCCAGGTTGCTTCTCTCCTTGATTAGTTTCCACCCATTGTTTCTTGTCCTGACTTTCAGGTGCTTTGGAGAATAGCTTGACTCCCTCTTCTTTGGGGCAGCCCCTGAGATATTGGAACACTGCTATCATGTCACTCCTGGTCCTTCTTTTCATTAAACCCAATTCCAACAACTGCCCTTAATATATTTCATATATATTTATATATATATATTTATATGCTTCATTCTGGGGGCCAAGTTGGGCAGATGGAACGTCAAAGAAGGCCTTTCTCCTGGACTCCAACAGGTGGGATTCCCTGGTCTATGGGGCCCCACAGCATGCCTCCTTTGCCGGCACATGTGGGGTGGGCAAGAATAACAGAATAAGAGAGTCGGAAGGGACCTTGGAGGTCTTCTAGTCCAACCCCCCGCTGAAAAGCAGGAAAACCCTATACCATTCCAGACAAATGGCTGTCCAATCTCTTCTCAAAAACCTCCAGGGACGGAGCACCCGCAATGTCTGGTGGCAAACCCGTTCCACTGATGAATTCTTCTCTGAAAATGCTCCCGCTTAGAATGCTGAATGAATTGTTCTCGCTCGTTCCAGCGATTTCATTGAGAGCTTCAAGAAGCTCTTCGCTTTTCCTAGAATGTGGCGCACCGCGGTGGCCGCTGGCATCAAGAACGACCCAATCTGGATGCACAGTCATGTCCGTAAATGCGGGGAGTGAAATCAGCACCTTGGAGAGCTCCGCCGGAGCATTTGCATTCATTAGGCAGTGCAACAAGATGTTGTCTCAAGCAAGGAACTTCAAATAGTCCTCAACTTACGACCACAGTTGGGACCAGATTTTTCCATTGCTAAGCAAGGCAGTTGTTAAAGGAGTCAACCCTGATTTTATTGACTTTTTGGCCCGTGTTTTTAGGCAAATCCCTGCATTTTTTTAAATGAATAGTGCTGTCGTTTAATGAACCCAACTCACTCTATTGAGTTTGCTTGCCAGAGGATGGCTGAGAAAATCAGAAGAACTGAGTTGGAAGGGACCTTGGAGGTCTTCTAGTCCAACCCCCCCTGCTCAAGCAGGAGGCCCTATGCCATTTCAGACAAATGATTATCCAATCTCTTCTTAAAGACCCCCCCGTGACGGAGCATCCGCAACTTCCTGTGTCAAGCTGTTCCACTGGTTCATGAATTAATTCTTACTGTCACTGATCGCATGACCTGGATCACAGCAACCATCATAAATATATGCTGTTGCCAAGTGCCTGAATTTTGACCACGGGGATTGTAGAGATGCCACAAGGGGTCTTAAAGGCAAGCACCAGTTGTAAGTCGCTTTTCCCCGTGCCTTTGCACAGTGGTGGTATGCTACCGGTTTGTACCGGTTCAGCAGAACGGGTAGTAAAAAAGCCAACGATCAGCTGAGCGGAGGAAAAAAAATCTTCAATAATCAGCCGAGAGGAAAAAGAAGAGAAAGCACAGGGTCGGCCCTTCCACCGACCCCTGGGTTTTTCTCTTCTCTATCCCCTCAGATGATTGGCACTGCAGGTCTCAGCTAGCGTGGGGAAAACTGTGCCCCGGCATTAGCACCCCCACCAAGCCACGTCCACCGAACGGGTGGTAAAATCATTTGAATCCCACCACTGTATCTTTGAAGAGTCACTGACTGAATGGTCATAAGTTGAGGACTATCTGTAAGACCTTATGAAGACAAGATATATACTGCTCTAGGAATCCTAGAGAAAACTGGCTATTTATTTTTTTATTTTTTGCAAGCCACCATCGCTGATTGTATTAGAAGATGTGTATATAAATTGTCCTATCTTAAAGCCTTTTGTAGGAGGAGGGGTGGAGTCAAAAGAGGAACCAGCCTAGAATCCTTACATAGCCATAACTGAATTAAGTCCAATGGTGAATTCCATTGATTGTATTCAGCACCAAAAATAGTGCTATTAGTTATGTAGATTCCTGTGTATCGGCACAGGAATCAGTTTAACTAGAACTTCAGGTGTATCCTTCCTGGTCTTTGTCCTTACGGAATATGGTTTTTTCCACTCCGTACAAAAATACCAACTTGCATTCATGATGGAGATGTTCACAGGCACAAGTTCTAGAGATGTCTCAAACCTGGCAATTGATTTGCTCCTTTCTCCTTCTTCTCCTTCTTCTTCTTGCTCTGCTTCTTCTTCTACCTGGCAAGTGCCTTCCCGAGGGCCAGCATTCTGGAGGAAACTAGGAAACCCCACTGCTGACAAAAAGAGGGCGGTTGTCTTGATGTGGAAGGTAGGAGAAAATACCAAGCTGTAGCAGACGGACTGGCAGAAACTGGGGGAAGAGTGAAAAAAGGGCTTAGCCTAGAAACCCTAACGGACTAAGCCCAACCCCCTGTGGTGGTCCCACTCACCCACACGTCAGTCTGTTCCCCTCAAACCTGTTTTATTTCAGGTTTTCAGCTAACCCCCAGCTGCAAGCTTAGCACAGCAATTGGCTCACCACCAAGTAGATAACCAAAAGCAAAACAAACTTACAGCCAAACCAAAAAACACTCTCGGAAATAAAAGGTTTTGCCTGGTAGGTTCCAGTGGTGGGATTCGAACACCTTAACAACCGGTTCTCTGGCTGGGTAGGCATGGCTGGTTGGGGTCATGTGACCGGGTGAGTGATGTCACTCATCACACCCAGCCCCGCCTCCCAGCCACTCGCCTCAAAGACAGAATTAGGATTCAGCCAATTGGGGCTAGTCCTACCACTGGATGGCCCCGCCCCCACTTGTTTTTTGGCCTGTTTATTGGGCTTGTTTTCAAGGCGTTTTCTGGACCATTTTCAGGGCATTTTGGGGCCCTATTTGCACAGTTTGGCGAACTGACAAATCCCACCCCTGACTGGCCCCACTCATTGTTTCGGCTGGTTTTGGGGGGCTGGTTTTTCAGCTGGTTTTGGCCCCCCTCATTGTTTCGGCTGGTTTTAGGCCGTTTTCTGCACCATTTTTGTGCAGTTAAGCGAACCGGCAAATCCCGCCACTGGCTGGCCCCGCCCCCGCTCCTTTTTCAGCCTGTTTTGGGGGCTGTTTTGGGCCAGAAAAGCAGCCCAAAGCAGCCCCCCAAAACAGGCCAAAAATGTAGCTAGTTCACCGAACTGCACATAATCTTAACTACCGGTTCGCCTGAACCAGTGCAAATCGGCAGCAGCCCACCTCTGGTAGTTTCCAAAAATAAACAGCCCAAATCCCCTCCGAGGTCTGCCTCCACTGAGGTTCGTCAACCAGTTGGGTGGTCCAGTTTGGGGGCTTGCAAGGAGAAGCCACGCGAATTTGTCCAAGCCAGGAGTTCAGGGCGTCATGTCCAGTGAAGCCAGCCACAAACAAGCTCCAGACTAACCTTCCAGGCAGTGGCCAATTAGTCCACCTGACAGATAACTGGCTGCTCCAAACACAAATATAATCCCTCTCCACAATGGAATTAATTCCACCAGCTGCAGAGTCCCAGAAACCCAAACAACCATCTGGCCACGACCCACCCATGCTGCTTCCAGCAACGCCTCCCTCTGCTTGCCCTGCTAAATAGCCCCTCCCAGTGCAGCCCATTAAGGGGGCGGGGCCTTTCCCCGATCAATCTGGCAGATCTCCCCCTTTCTTCCCTACATCCTCTAGCATCTACCAAGGTTGGTAGCTCCTCCCCCTCTTCCTCATTGGCCTGTGAGCTCTTCCCAAGTCAAGGCATGTTCTGCTGGCAGTTTAGAGTCAGCAATACCGGACTTGCCAGGAATTAGTTAGTTTACTTTATTGTCACTACACCTCGTACACAGAAGTTAAATGCCATCTTCAGTGCACGTTATACATAAAAAAATGAAACGAACACACACAACCTTCACATTCTATACATTGAATTGAAAACCCCTGATATTGCATTAATATTGCACTATACAGTAGAATTTACTATAGTTCCTGCCCTGGGATAGAAGCTGCTTTTCAGCCTATTTCTCCTTGTTTTTATTATCCGGTACCGTCTGCCAGATGGTAATAGTTCAAAAAAAAAATGGTGCCCAGGATAAGATGGATCTTTGAGAATGTTTTGAACTTTCTTAAGGCAGCGGGAGCTATAAACGAGTGGGATTCAGCCGATTCGGGCCAGTTCGGCAAACCGAATGTTAATTTTACATCCAGTGGGGTGAACTGGTAGTTCCAACAATCATCTGGCCCCGCCCACCCCACCCGGCCCCTCCCACAAGGCCCGTCTGGCTCCCAGGTAAGTGTAGGGCGGCCTCCTGGAGTAAAAATAGGGCACAGGCTGGTTGGCTCAGGAATTCTGGGAGTTGTAGTCCACAAGCCATCAAAGGGACCATTGTTCCTCATCCCCACACTAGAATTCGCTGCTGTTGTTCTAAGCTGCACTTCGCTCATTGCTTGAGTCCCAGTCAAGCCTATTAAACCAACATTCATTGTTTGCTGGTCTCGGTCCAAAAAATAGCTTTCACGGCATTATTTTCCAAAGATTGTGTGATCTGCATTGTATTATCTTAATCTGGAAGAAGTGGAGCAAAATCTTAATTGTTCTCTTTGGCTCTGTTGGTCCCTGGCTGCTGTTTGAATTCTCTACCCCTCGGTGAATAAATATGCTCCTAATTATATTTGTTGTGCTGAGCGTATTTTCTTGCGGCTTGCACTGTGACATCTCTCTCGATGTCTTATTTGCTTTTTATATAACTATTTCCAACCGGTACATTTCGTCTTCAACATACAACTATTCTGACCCAGGCTTTGTCAAACATATTTAAACACAAACTTGTTTTAAAAGCAAAGCCTATTTTATTGCAACGCTGGGAATTACGTGCCTTCCCAGACAGAACTAATTATTTATAGTTCCCCAAGATAAGCACACGCCTGTCAGTGCTGTGGAATGCTGCCAAAAACAGAAGTATCCAATTATAACTGAAACCAACTGAAATACCAGAAAAAAACAACCAGAATACACAGAGCTTCAAGGAGGACTTGGAATCTATTGAACTACTTTGCTTCCTGCAAAGCTTTTGTCATTGAGGTCTGACTTTTATCCCTTATGGGAGGGGCAATCACTTCCCAGCCTTACTCCCGAGTCGCCCCTTTTGTTTCAGCTGCTCTCGCCTTCTAGCAGCTCTGCGCATGCACGCACTGGGAACAGGCTCCGCTTGTTCCTCTGCCTCGCTGCTGCTAGACTCCGAAGGCTTCAAAGTCAGCACCCCACTCCCAGATGGTCCTGGCCCCATCCCTGCCTTGGACGCAGGACCCTCGTCCAAGTCCTCTCCAGACCCCTGGACTGATCTCCTTTCTTCCTCACTGTCCGACTCCGCTGCCATTTGCACTGGCTGCCAGCGAACCACCACAACAACGTTCATTTAGCGACCGTTCGAAAATTACAGCCACACTGAAAAATGTGACTTATGGCTGATCTTTGCATTTATGACCATCGCAGCCACCCAATGATGATCAAAATTTGGGCACTTGGCAGCCAGCATGTACAGGTCATCTTTGACTTACGACCACAATGGAGCCCAACATCTCTGTTGTTAACTGAGGCATTTGTTCAGGGAGTTTCACCTCATTTTACGACATTCCCTGTCACGGTTGTTCGGTGAACCATTGAAGTTGTTCAATTAGTAGCCCGGTTGTTAAGTGAATCTGGCTTCCCCGTTGTTGGGAGGTCGCAAAAGGGGATCATGTGACCCTGGGACACTGCAACTGTCATAAATATGAACCAGTGGCCAAGCATCTGAATTTTGATTATGTGACCCTGGGGACGCTGCAAAGGTCATAATTGTGAGAAAACGGTCCTAAGTCACTTTTTTCAGTGCTGTTGTAACATTGAACAGACGCTAAGTGAACTGCTGTAAGTTGAGGACTACCTGTATTTACTATGGTTGCAGGATCCCGGAGTCATGTGATCACCATTCATGACCTTCCCAGCCAGCTTCCAACTAGTCAATGGGGGTGGGGGAAGGTGGATTCGCTTAACGACGGTATGATTTACGTAACAACTGAAGTGATTCACTTAACCACCATGGCAAATAGCACTAGCAAGAGCACTTATAGACCGCTTCACAGTGCTTTACAGCCCCTCTCTAAGAGGTTTACAGAGCCAGGCTCTTGCCCCCATACAATCTGGGTCCTCATTTTACCTACTTCGGATGGATGGAAGGATGAGTCAATCTTGAGCCAGTCAGGATTGAACTCCTGGCAGTGGGCAGAGTTAGGCTGCAATTCTGCATTCTAACTACTGCGCCATCAGGACTCTTGAGAGAGAGAGAGAGAGATTGTAGATAGACAGAAGGTCTCATCAGATTCAGCCCATGGGCCTTGAGTTTGACACCCCTGATCTAAGATATGCAAACAGGTGTTTCTTCTTGCGTAGGTTTCCTTAGTGGTGGACATTTGTGTAGCAGGACATTACCTTTTCCTTTGTCATTCCTTATCCTAGTCTTCTTCTCTCCCTGAAAGCTGACCACAGGCCTCGTCTTTTCATTTATCCTGCTAGCCCTTGAAGCCCAAGGAAGCCAACGGTGAGATTTTGGGGTACAGCCTCCTCTCTCAGAGGAAAGGGGAGCTCACGGCGCCCGAATGCATCACTCACCACCTGCGGTGTCGGCTGGTCCTCCCGGCCGGCGAAGAATTCGCCTTTTATCTCACCGCCAAAAACAGAGTTGGCATCTCACCTCCAACCAAGCTGGTGATTCCAGCCTTCCCTAACCCAGAAGGTAAGATTTGCAACAGTTGTTATATTTAAAAAAATAAATAAATATTTGCTTAAATGTTTTGGCCCCTTTTTTGTGGGTTGTAAAAATTGGAAAAGAAGTTTCTGCAAACTACAGTATATTTGGGGAGGAAGGGAAATTGGGTTGGTCTGTCATGTTCTTTCCTTGATCAACATGAGAAGCAGAATGTCTATGGAGATTCTCAGTCCTCCAGGTCACGGTTGTTGTCCCCAAAGTGCTTTTTCAAGAGGCAACCGGACTTTCTGTTGTTGTTTTTTTCTTTGAAGACATTTCGCTTCTCACCCAAGAAGCTTCTTCGGCTCTGACTGGATGGTGGGAAATGGAAGGATTTATACTCCTTGCAGACAGTTGATCATTTGCATCCTTTTAGAGGCGTCGTTGAGGCCACTTGGGGGTTTATCTGTGTCCTCAGGGTCACCTGAGTAATGCAAACGGGTGTGGAGCTTTCTTGGCTACAGGATGTTTTCTGGCCTGGGTCCCTTCCCTGACGCAGGCTGCTGGGGATAAGTCTATGTTGGCTGAAGCACAAAGTTTAGATAAACCTCCAAGTAGCCTCAGGGACTCCCTCAAAAGGATGCAAATGACCAGCTATGTCTGCAAGGAGTATAAACCCTTCCATTCCCCACCATCCAGTCAGAGCTGAAGAAGCTTCTTGGGTGAGAAGCGAAACGTCTTCAAAAGAAAAACCCAGAAAGTCCAGTTTCCTGAAAAAAGCACCTTTCAGATATGAGAAGCAGAAATCAACATTAAAATGACATAAAATCAATGTTTTTCAACCTTGGCAACTTTATGGTGCGTTGGACCTCAACATGTTGGCTGGGGAATAATTTTGGGATCTTAAAGTTGCCAAGGTCGAGAAACGCTATACATTGCCTCTTTTTTTTTGCCTCTAGTCCCGCCTTCCCCCCTGTCCATCCTCGTGTCCTCAGCAGGGGACCACTCCCTCCTCTTACAGTGGTCTCTTCCCAGCACCCCAAGGATGGACTTTGTTCTGGAATGGAAAAAACTGCCCGAGGAGGAAGAGGAAGACCCACACTGGCAGTATGAGAATGTCAACCACGCTGTCATTACTGGTGAGTGTGATTGATCGTGGTGATGATGGAGAGAAGAGAGGAAAAGAGAGAGGAAGGAAAGTTGTTTAAAGCAACCAGTGGCATAGCAAGAGAAAGGGGGAGGGAGGCAGGGAGGGAGGATGGGAGAGAGGAGGAAGGAGATGGAGGAAGAGGAGGAAAGAGAGGGAGGGAAGAGGAGAGGGGAGGGAGGAAGAAGAGGGAGAGAAGGAGATAGGAAAGAAGGGAGGGAGGGAAGGAAGGAAGGAAAGGTAGGTGAGAGAAGGGAGGGAGGGAGGGAGAGTGGAAGAGGGAGGGAAGGAAGGAAGGAAAGGTAGGTGAGAGAAGGGAGGGATGGAGGGAGGGAAGGAAGGAAGGAAAGGTAGGTGAGAGAAGGGAGGGATGGAGGGAGAGTGGAAGGAGACTGGGAAGTAGGAAAGAAGGAAGGAGGGAAGAAAGGAAGGAAGACAGGGAGAGGGCAGGGAGGGAGGAAGGAAGGAGGGAGGAAAGGAAAGGAAAGGAAAGGAAGGAAGGAAGGAAGGAAGGAAGGAAGGAAAGAAGAAGGAAGGAAGGAAGGAAGGAAGGAAGGAAGGAAGGAAGGAAGGAAGGAAGGAAGGAAGGAAGGAAGGAAGGAAAGCAGGGAGGGGGGGACGGAGGAAGGGAGGAAGGAAAGGCATAAGAGAAAAGAGGAAGTTCAAAGAGAAAAGGGGGATCGGGGAAATATCAGAGAGCGAGAGAAAGGCCACAAAGAAAGACAGAAGAGAGAAAAAGGAGGGTGAAAGAAACAAACACATAAGAGAGAAGATGGGCTAGAAAGAAGGGATCGGGCGTGATCCCAGAGGGTTTTTTGGCTCTGTCAGCTATTGGCCAGGGCCCTTTTGGTGAGGGGGAAGCAGCTGCCGTTTGGATGTTTTTGCTGCAGCGGCTTGCCCAGGGCGGTGCTCAAGGTCGCGGTGACCTTCTTCTTCGCAAGCCTCCTGTCATGAAGAGGAAATAGGAATGCACGTCCGGGCAGCTGCCTTGCCTGCCTTGCCAGACTGAAGTAGACCTCCTCCAGCAGCAGGAGCGACAACGACAACCGCAACAACCACAACCCTTAGGGGTTTTGCACCCCCCGTCTTTCCCATGCAGTCAGGAAATTAATATCGATCCTCGGCTCCACGGCACAGAACCAGCCCTCGGCCTGAGAGGCTCTTCGGAATCACGCACCCACAAGGCCACCCTCCCTTGTGAAAATCAGCCCTGCCAGATCCTGCGGAGGGTGTGTGTGTGTGTCAATTGAAGGGAGATTTCCTGCAGACCCCAGGCAGAAACTTAAATCGGATTAACAGAGTTGGAAGGGACCTTGCAGGTCATCTAGTCCAACCCCCCTGCCTGAGCAGGAGATCCTCCCCTACACCATTTCTGAGTCCCCTTCCCCTGCCGTGCCCACCAAGCTACACCCGCCAAGCCACACGACGCCTACTAAGCCACGCCCACAGAACTGGGAGTAAAAAAAATAATTTGAATCCCACCACTGCTCCGGCCCCCTCATCGTCTTCACAAGGAACATCGCAACGAACTGCCAGATCAGAGCAAAACAGACAGGGGGATAGGATAAGAAAAAGCCAAACCGCAGGGCCGCAAATGTTTCCGTAATTGCTCATTTCTTCTTCTTCTTCTTCTTCCTCCTCCTCCTCCTCCTCCTCCTCCTCCTCCTCCACCTCCTCCAGAAGCCATCGAGCCTGGGAATCGTTATGCCGTGAAGATCTTTGGACTCTTAGATGGCCGTCTCAGAGCCTTTGGTTCGACTCACGCTTACTCCAAGCAAATCGGTAAGCGGAACCTGTGACGTCCTGAGGTTGATATTCCTGGATTTGGGGGCTGGCTGTTATTTAGTAAGAAAGTGCACAGTGGCCCCAGTGGCTAGAGGGCAGTACTGCAGTACTCCTTCTTCTGACTGCCGGCTGACTGCAAATTTGGCAGTTCGAATCCCACCAGGCTCCAGGTGGACTCCACCCTTCCGTCCTTCCGAGGGGGGTCAAATGAGGACCCGCATTGTTTGGGGGGAGGGGCAAGAGATGGGCTCTGTAAACCGCGTAGAGAAGGCTGTGTAAAAGCACTGTGAAGCGGTAGACAGGGGTGAGCTTCAAAAAAATTTAGCAACGGGTTCTCTGCGCAGTTGCTGGGTGGGTGTGGCCATGCGGGGCGTGGCCTACTGCACCACAGCGGGGGGGGGGGCATTTTTCCAGGCACCTGAGGTTTTCCTCAGGCCTCCAGGAGGGTGAAAAATGGCTTCCCCGGGCTGTGGAGGCTTTCTGGAAGCCGGAAACGGGCTTATTTCAACCTTCTCAAACTTCTGAAAGGCCCGTTGTTTGACCTCCCGGAGCCTCCATCCGTGCCCGGCACTTACCTGCATCCAAAATGGCTGCATGGGGGACTCGTGGGAGGGGTGGGGTAGGGTGGGGTGGGTGGGGCCAGCCAGGAGTGGGATTTGGGAGGGGGGGGTTCTCCAAACTGCACCGAATCTTAGCTAGGGGCTGTCCTGAACCCCTTGCGAGCCCCCAGCAGCCCAGCCCTGGCAGAATATAAGTCTAAGTGCTATTGCTATGGCTATTGCGCCACCCATACAGACAAAGGAAGCATCAGTTGGCTTGGAGTGACCTCAAATTATGGAGATGTACCTGTTATTGTTAGTTGCGAAGTCGTGTCCGACCCATCGCGACCCCATGGACAACGTTCCTCCAGGCCTTCTGGTCCTCTACCATCCTCTGGAGTCCATTTAAGCTCACGCTGACTGCTTCAGTGACTCCCTCCAGCCACCTCCTTCTCTGCCGTCTCCTTCTTCTTCTATTGTCCTCAATCGTTCCCAGCATGAGCCTCTTCTCCAGGGAGTCCTTCCTTCTCATTAGGTGGCCAAAGTCTTTGAGTTTCATCTTCAGGATCTGGCCTTCTAAAGAGCAGTCAGGGTTGATCTCCTCTGGGACTGACCGGTTGGATCGCCTTGCAGTCCAAGGGAACTACAGGGATAAATAAACCTTTTATTTGCTATCACATTGTGAAGCAGGGGTCTCCAAACTTGGCAAGGTTAAGACTGGTGGACTTCAACTCCCAGAATTCCCCAGCCAGCATGGAGTATCTCAGCTGCTGTGGGTATTTACTTTGGATTCGTTTTTTTTTAGAGTTTTAAAATATTTTTAGTGTTTTCATTGTAATATATCAGCTGGCTGAGGAATGGGCTGGCAGAGGAATTCTGGGAGTTGAAGTCCACAAGTCTTAAGAGTTGCCAAGTTTGGACACACACACACACACACATACACACATTCTCTCTGTTCTAAAGGAATGTGAGAATGTCCTTGAGAGGAAAGGGGGAACGACCAGATAAAAGGTGAAGGAGCCCGCAATTGTGTAACAGGCAGAGAAAGAAAGATGGAAAAGGTTCATCCTCAGACAATAAAAAGAGATGGTGGGGGATTTGTACTTTCAGACCTGTAAGATCGATCTCAGCCTCCTACGTAGACGAGGCAGGAAACACGAGAAGATTACATATTTTATTATAAAGCTACATTAACAGCATGCACTCGTTCCTTCATTCAATCCATTTCTATAGCCGGCCCATCTCAATCCATCACTCTGGGAAGCTTACGATTTCAAAAATAAAAAAGACACATTGCAGCGAAAAGACTAAATACATTTTAAAAATAAGAAAAACCAACCCCCCAAATAATTACATATAATAGCTGAGATCCTTGGCCACTTAGCAATAAAATCGGGAAACGGGGCACTTGACACATTCAGCACCGCAGGCTCAGTGCCAGGTTTTTAGGGCCTTACGAAAGGTCATTCTGATGTCTGGAGGGAGGATGCACCACCGCAGAAATGAAAGAAGTTTGCAAATCTGAAAGGGAAATCGTCTGCTGTCTCTTTTAACTACCTGATTCATTAGAGAGGACTTGCCTGTCTGTCTGCCTGCCTGCCTTTCTCTCTCTCCACCCTTCTCTCTAGCTATCTATTTATCTACCTACCTATCTACCTACCTACCTACCTGTCTATTTAAATACCTTATCCATACATCCACCTTGGAAAGCTGGAAAGGTTGGGGACCGCTGGTATAGGGTCTCCTGCTCGAACGGAGTGGGGGAGGGTTCAGTCTAGAAGACCTCCGAGGTCCCTTCTGTACTGTATATTCACTTTCTTCCTCTGGAATTGCAGCCCCTCCCTTCTGGGAATCCAGACTACATGCCACTACAGCAGCATCTCTCCCTCTGTCTTCCAAGGCCATGCTCAGGTCCTATTTCATATATGGACTTCTTCAATGAATAGGCTGCTGAGTCAGCAAGCAAGAAACATAAGGATTAAGGGCAGGGAGGGTGGGATTCTACCGGTTTGGGTCGTTCAGGCAAACCGGTAGTTCCGGGGATTATTTTGGCCCCGCCCCTGTCCTTTTCCTGAGCTTTATTTCCTTGATTTTTGAGCACGGCTGATTCGCGCGGCAGAGCGGTTTGCCGCGCACCAGCTGTTTTATTCACCAGGAATGCAGCAAAAGGCAAGTACTATAGCTACAAATTGTCTTTTCTAAATGCGACGCCGATGGTTACACCCGTTGAATTGCACCACCGATTTAAGGGTGAGGTGAGAGGGGGTGCGGCGGTATTTCCATTAAAAACCCTAAGTGTTTGGCATCCTATTCTTATACGCATCTGTTCCCTTTCGGTGTCGGGGTCTACTCGCTGATGCCCTAGATGTCTCCTTTCTATTTTCCAGCTCCACGTCGGGCCCCGGCTTTGTATCCCACTCAGGTCTGGAAATCTTGGGTGGAGCTGCAGTGGGAGAGGCTCCCCTTGGAAGAACAAGGTGGCGAGATCCAGAACTACACCCTCTACTACAAGGAAGAGAAGAAGGAGGCCTATCGTAAGGAGAATCCTTATGCTTCTCGGCAAAGGGTTAGGTTTGCTGAGAAAAGCTGGCTGGGGAATTCTGGGAGTTGAAGTCTTCCAGGCTGAAAGTGGCCAAGGTTGGAAAGCCTTGCCCTGCACCACAATGCTTTGTCCCGTGTCTCTCAAGGTCTTTCTCTCACGCACCCCACTTCTCGTCCAGCGCCTTCACGGCCGGACTGTCCTGAGCCTGCGGTTTATTCTTGAAACCTGCACGAATGAAACATTCTTGATAGTGTGACCCTAAGCACAGGCGCTCCTTGATTTACAACACTTCATTTAGTTATAACGGCACTGGAAAAAGTGACGTATGACGAGGGCTGGGCTGCTGGGGGTTTGCGGGGGTTTCGGGAGGGCCCCTAGCTAAGATTCTGGGCAGTTTGGAGAACCCCCAGAAATCCCACTCCTGGATGGCCTCACCCACCCCTCCCCTCCCAGGATTCCCCACACAGCCTGTTTTGGATGCAGGTAAGTGCAGGGCGTGTGTGGAGGCTCGGGGAGGGCGAAAAACGGGCCTCCTGGAAGTTCTGTGAGGCCGGAAATGGGCTTGTTTCCAGCTTCCAGAGAGCCTCTGGAGCCTGGGGCAAGGGTGGGATTCTACCAGTTCACACCTATTCGCTAGAACCAGTTGTTAACATTCTAAGCAGTTCAGAGAACCGGTTGTTAGAAGAAATTACTGGGCTAATCCTGTAAGGAAGGCAGGAAGGAAACATTCTGGTGTTGCTTACAGAAACTGCCTCTCCGTTAACCTTTATTACATTCTTGGCAGGACTAGACTTCCTGTCTCAGGAACTTCTCTGGAGCTTTTCCCCCCTCCTTTGCTGGTACTTTGCTTGTGTGGAGTGACCATTCAAAGTTACAATGGCACTGAAAAAAGTGACTTATGACCATTTTTCACACTTAACGACTGTTGCAGCATCCCCACAATCATGAGAGGAGAGGAGAGGCAAGGGACCAGGCAAGGAGATGCGTGCCTCGATGTGAGTGATGTTGAGTTGGCCACGCCCAGACAGTCACATGACCACCAAGCCACACCCACCAACTAAGCCACGCCCACAGAACCTGTTGTTAAAAAAAAATGAATCTCACCCCTGCCTGGGGGAGACCATTTTCACCTTTCCGGAGGCTCAAAGAAAGCCTCCGGAGCCCAGGGAGGGCAAAAACACCCCCACACACACACCGTAGTATAGGAGGCCAGCTAGGCCATGCCCACCATGACCACGCCCACCCAGGAACCTGGCAGAGAACCCTTTGCTGAATTTTTTTGAAGCCCACCCCTGCTTATGATCATTTTTTTTTATTCTTATGACCTTTGCAGCATCCCTGTGGTCACATGACCAAAATTCAGACACTTGGCAATGGTCTCACATTTATGACGGTTGCAGTGTCCCGGAATCATGTCATCATCCCCTTTTACAGCTTTCTGACAAGCGCAATCAAGCCAGGTACTTCAAAACTATACAACTAGCTTAACAGCTTGCAGCGATTTCACTTAACAAATGTGGCCAGAAAGGGGGCAAAAATGGGTCAAAGTTCACTTAAGGACTACCTCACTTAGCGACAGAAACTTTGAGCTCAATTGAGGTCGTAAGTCAAGGACTAGCTACATGCTTCCCATCAGCGTGTCCTTTGATTTAGCCAACAGAAACATGAACTGCTGATAAGATTTATACAGCAAGTGTCCTTTTTATAATCAGCTTCTGTTCCTATTTAAAAGTCATCATCATTTCTTGTAAAAATGGGGCGAAACTCACTGAACACCTGTCTCGCTTAGTAGCAGAAATTCTGGTCTCCGTTGTGGTCATAAGTCGAGGATCACCTGTGTCCTCGACTTACGACCACAATGAGCTTTGCAGGAGCCAAGGACAACGGAGTCTTTGCGACTGTGGGTCTGGCCTCTCCCTGCTTCTTCTTTTCCAGGGGCCGTGGTGCTGGACGGCTCAGTGCATCACTACGTCATCAACGGCTTGGCCCCCGGCTCAACTGTGAGGGTGTACATGGTGACGGCCAACGAAGGCGGGAGCACCAGAGGATCCTTGCTGTCCATCCGCACTAAGAACTATGGTGAGGGTTGAATGAAATAGATAGATAGATAGATAGATAGATAGATAGATAGATAGATAGATAGATAGATAGATAGATAGATTTATTGTCATTGTATGCAGAAACCTGAGAACAACGAAATAAGGTGCTCTTCCCACAACATACAACTGAACAACACCAAAAGACATATACAAATAACAATGTAAAACAAATTCAAACAAATAACAGTTAAAAACTGTACAACCAGGATATATATATATGTTAAGATCACCAGATTCATAACTCTGCATTTAACCTGATCACAGCACTTGGGTAAAAGCTATGTTTAAATCTACTTGAATGAAAGAATGAATGAATGAATGAATGTTTGAATGAATGAATGAATGATTGAATGAATGTTTGAATGAATGAATGATTGAATGTTTGAATGAATGA